CATTATTATTACCATTATTTTGGTGGAACCAGGGATTGAACTCAGACCCTTGTGCTTGTCAGGGAAGCTCTTATTCTATGGAGCCATCTCCCCAGCCCCATCATGAGTGCTTCATTTTATTGCTGAATAATATTCCATCATATCAGTGTACCACATTTTATTTGTCCATTTGTGCTAAGGTACAATTGGTTGTTTGCACTTTTGACTCCTATAAATAATACCCTTATGAACATTTGTATCCATTTTTCGTGCTGTTTTCTTTTTACTTGCTCTTGAGCATAAACCTGGGAATGAAGTAGCTGGATCACATGGTAACTCTCTAACATTTTGAGACTCTGCCAGTTAAATGGTTTTGATTTGTATTTCTCTATTGACTAGTAGTGTTTAACATTTTTGTGTGTGTGCTTAATGTCCATTTTTATGTGTTTTGGCTAGGCATGTTCAACACTTTGTCCTTTTAAAATATGGCTTATTGATCTTTTTATTGTTGAATTGTAAGACTTCCTTTTACACCCAACAGTGTAGTTAGTGTACATTGTTTTATGCAGTGCTCTTTAAATCACCTACTGCAAGAAAGGAGAAAAAATTAAGCATTCATACTCTTATTTAATTATTGACTTTTATATTATACTATCTTTTGTAACTTATCAATCTTTCACTCCTGTTTTCACTGACTTGCTTTCAACCTGAAGAGGTATTTTTACTGTTTATTAAGGCACATCTGCTAGCAACAAACTTTCCAATCTTTTATTTTCTGAGAATGGATTTATTTCTCCTTCTTCTTGGCTATAAACTTCTCAGTTAACATTGTTTTATTTTTAGCACTTTAATATGTCAGGCCTCTCCATTTGTTTTTCATTCCGATGAGAAATCAAATATATATCTTATTGCATTAACTTGTACATTTTTCTTTTTGTCTTGGAGCATTTTTATGTTGATATGTTGGTGTGAGTTTCTGTATTTATCCTATCTTGATCTTCTTGCACTTGTTAAATGTGTAGATAAATGTTTTCATCACATTAGAGAAAGTTATATGTTTCTACAGTACTTGGAATTAAACTTAGGGCTTTCTTACTGAAAGCCCAACTTGTGTTTATTTCTGGGGCATGTTCTGCGATGTTGCTAAGTTGCCCAGGCTGGGTTCAACTTTGGCCATTCTCCTTCTTTGGCCTTCCTGAGTGCTGTAGCTCAGGCATGCACTGCCATGCTGGGATGCATTAAGAGTGTTGTAATTCATCATTTTTTCTCATATTTTTTTCTGTATGTTGAGGAAAGGTCTACAGGGTGTTCAGCATCTCACTACTAGATAGGATTCCTAGTGCTTCTTGTGTTTACAGTTAACCAAGTGCTGGGATTACAGGTGTGCACACAATACGCAGTCTCAATTGGCATCTCAGGGCGCCTAGGGGTGAGGCTGGCAGGGCAGGCCCAGGGATTTAACCCCGCCCCTGCACCTGCTTGCAGGTGTTTTATCCACTGACTTATTTGCCAACCCTCTTCTCATAATTTTTTCTACCTGTTCTCTACTTTTTTTTTTGAAGGAAAGAAAGGTTTATTCACCTCACAGTTAGTGGAGGTTTCAGTGCATACTTAGCTGGCTCCAACAAAGGCAGAGCAGCACATGGCAATGAACAAAATTTCATGGTGGAGGCAAAGAGCCAGAGCAAGGAAAGAGTAGCAGCAGCTCAAGCAGCTAGCTTCTCTTTCCATTTTACATTGTAATGCAAATTACCTGCCCCAGGGCAGGTGCAGCATCCACACCCACAGTAATCAGCCACAAACTCCAGATGAAGCCCCATGACTGCCTGAGGCTTTGGAGGCACACCTGTACACAAACCATAACATTTCACCCCTGGAACACCAAAGACTCATGCTAATCCCTTTATGCAAAAGCTATTATAGTCCATCTCTAAGAGTTGTCAAATCTCAACAGTTTCAGCATTGCTGAAAAGTCCAAGCCCCAAGTCTCCTCCAAGATCCAAGCCAAATTCCTAGCTGTGAGCCCTTGTACAAATGAAAACTTAAACACCTGCAACACTCAAATGCACAAGATAAACATTACCATTCCAAAAGACATACACAGAGCATACCAAGCTTTGGGACCAACACAAATCCAAAATCCAGCAGGGCAAACATTAAGTCCTGCCATTCCATGTGGGACATCCGAAGCACTCTCTGGCAAATTGTGAACTCCATGTGGCTCAGCGCCTGTGGCACTCTTGGCGGTGGCTTCCATGACTTCCCTCTTAGGCTGGCTTTGCTCCCTCCTTGCAGTTTCCCTTAGATGATCCACATTCTCAGCTTTTCCAAACTTGGGTTTCCACTGAATAGGGTTCTCACTCACAGCTTCACACACTACCCTCTCAGGGGTACACTGCCTGCCCTCCCCAGGGCTTCTTCTGAAATCAAGTTGAAACCCTTCTTAAATTCAGAACTCTTGCATTCTGTAAGTGCCTAAAACCAATGCCACATGGATGATGCCAAGGTCTGCTGACAGCTGGAGCGGTAGCCTCTACTTGTACTCTACTAACCTTTGCTATATGTATATTGGTCCACTAAGTTCTGTTCTGCATTTCTTGAAGCCTTTATTCAACTTTCCTTCATTTTTTATTCTGTCTCCTCTTCAGAATATGTAATGTCTATGTCTCTAAGTTCTCCATAAGGAACTCAAAGCAAGTCACTAGACTTTAGTACTGGGAATTACTGTGAGGGCTTGTGAAAGCCATGAGTCAGACAGTTTAATACCAAGTCATACAGGCAGATTGAGGGCATTACGGCCCTCTGTAGGGAACATAGAGTTGCAGGGCCTTTTAACAGAGATTGGAAAGAAGATAAGCGAAATTAAGCAGGAAGATGTTAATAAACGTCTGTGGTCAGAGTTATCTGGCTGTCTTGGACCTCATTGGGCAGAGTCCTTGAAGCATCTTGTGTAAAAGTTTTGGGTATCTCCAGATATGCATAGATTTACGACATTCTATTTTATTTCTTTTTTTAAAATAACATCCTTTGTTTGCCAGTGACAGCATTCATACTAAGGTGAGCCTTTACTGAGAACAATACCTCTGCTGGCAAACAGTTTGAGTGCTAGGAGGACTGTGTCTGCTTTCAGCCTTTTGTTCTCTAATTCCTCTTTGTGAAACTTCAGGTCTTCTGTTCAGTTTCTCATTGTTTGTATACTTTTCAATTTCTGAGTTTCCATTTGCCTTTTAAAATACTTTTTATTGATAATTTCATCATCATAGCTTCATTTACTTCAGTACACATGGAATTTTTGTTCTTCAGACATAGTAATTCTGGCTGTTTTCTTGGATGCAATATTTGGACCTTCTCATGGGCAGTTCACTCAACTAGTCTTTTTCTTGTGTATATATGACACCACTGTTTCTTTCCATATCCCCTAATTGTTGTCAACTGAACATTTTCTTTAATTTATTTAATTCTTTTTGAGGATGGCTTGTTTTTGCTTTTTGCCTTTATAGAGACTTGACTGCACCATCTTAATGAAGTCTGTTTTCTCCATAGTTTCAAGCCTCTTGATGTGACTCCTCAGAGGTCAGGCTGTGCCCAAGCAAACTCAGTCACCCTGTGATAATAGCAGTATTATCAGGCCTTTATTCCTCCATGTTTTTGATGTATCTTACCATGTAGTCATCTCCCTCAATTATTCACATACCTCCTGTGAAGAGTAGAGTCCAGTGATTATCTGCTGATCACTATGTTTTGTGAGACAATGCCATGGACGTTTGTTGCTTTGTACTCTGATCCAGTTGTACCTAAGTGGTGGTAGTTGTTGAAGTTTGTTCTTACTCCATGGCTGCACTTCTTAGTGGATTGTGATTGCCTCTACTAAGCTAGCTGATCTGTAATTTATCTTATTGCTCTGATGAATCTATCAAATGCCTTTTCATTTGCTTAACAGCAAAGCTTTCATGTTTTTGAAATCATCCTTATGCTTGAATTTCCCCAGACTTTGTTTGGATCACTGTGACTCTAATCTACATAGTGAGACCCTATATAGACCCTGGACTAAATCCATTTTTAAAAAAGATGTTAAAAGGCAGGAGTAATTAAGCTTTGGACAAGATTATAGTTTTTAGTTTGTAGGAACTATTGCATTTTATATTTGTTTATAGTGGCAGACTGCAGTTTAAAATTGCTTCCATTAGTGTCCAGTGTTGATCTCTTTAAGTGGCATTGCTTTCCTTAGGACTTTTTATGTGCTTATTGATATACAAATTCTAGCAAACCAGGGGAGTTAGTATACTAATATCACCACACCCAAATCTATTAGCTGATGTGCTCACTGGAAGCAGGAAGGCAAGATGTCACAATAGCATCTGGTGCTCTGTCCAGCTGCAACTCATCTGTTTCTCTCTCCATGTTTGTCTTCTGTTTCATCTTAGTTTATTGTTAGTTCTTTGTTTAGTTGTATAAAAATTGGCTTAATTGCAAATTAAGTGAAATTTGCAGTCTTCACATAAAGTTAACACTTTTAAAATTTCTTTGGAGACAAGACATTTAAACTGAAGGAGAAGTCTTACAACAGTGGACATTGTATCAGTCCAGGTATTTATTTCCTGATTTTTTAAATCAATATTTCATGTTTGTTTGTTAATCACCATAAAACAGTGATTTTATGGGGGTTTTTTTGGGGGTATGCTTTAATGGCTAAAGAGGCTGCACGATTTTCTTTTTCTTTATTTCTTTTCTTTTTCTTTTTATCTTTTTTAAGTAAGGGAGTACCAGGATTGAACTCAGATGCTCTCAAATTATCACTCATCCTCATAAAAACGTGGACATATATTGCTGTTCCAGAGAGATTAACTAATGTGTGTCACAGCTGGAAAAGCCAACATTTGAATCCAGGCCTGACTTATTCCAGAGCCCATAGTTTTTGCTAAGTTATAATTCAATATTCATTCATAACCACAGGACAAGATCTGTGCTCGATTTTGTATCTATATCATACTGCATTCTCCCAGCAGCTCTGAGTCAGGCATTATTATCCCCATTTAATGCTTTGGCTGACCTCAACAGAGTAACCAGAATGCTATTAGGTTTGACCTTCCTCCATTCCTAACAACTGGCTGACTAATCAAGATCCTGTAATTAGTTGTGCCACCAGGTGGGGTTTCTCCATTGTCTGCTAGAATTATTGAGTGTTTTTGGAGACAATTTGTCAGAGTTCATAAATACAATATGTCCTAGATTGTTTTTCAAGTATTTGAGGTGGTAGATTTCTTAAAGCTCTAATCATGTTATAAAATTGAAGCCAGATTTAAGAATGTTCTCACAGGTCTATTGAAATCATAGAAAAAAGTCCATCTCTCAGTGTTTTGAGGTAAAATGATCTAGTTTCTGTGGTTCTCACCAGTTCCTCCTCCCTCTGCAGGATCACTGACACTATCCTGGCAATGGCTTGCCCATCCTCCGATCTCCTCCAGAAGTACCACATCATTGACCAGTTCTTCAGGTAGAGGTGTTGCTCACATTATGGGGAGCACACTGTTTTCCATTTTAAGTCTATCTTCTGGTATGACTAATTGTTCTTTTTTCTTTAAGGCACAGCATAAAAACAGTGGTCAACCTGCACCAACCTGGCGAACATGCTAGCTGTTAAAAGTGTCTGAAACAAGAAAGTGGCTTCATGTACCTTCCTGAAGCATTCATGGAGGCTTGCAGTAAGTTCTCTCCCACTCACCCTCTTTGGAAATTATCAAGAACAGTGCTCAAAGATTTTTGTCTTCTAAACAGTCAGGTTAAAAGATGATAAAAATAAATACCTACTGCATAGCAGCATGGCTTATAGGAAATAAAGAAAAAATGGCTTTGACCTTAAATACTGCTAGCATTCTTCCCTGGTGTGGTGTCACAAGTTTTCCTTTTCCTCTGAGAGGACCATTGGGAAGAGCCTGCCATCTCTTCCATTCAGTTGATCCCTACAGCATATCTTCATTGTTAGCTCATTTCACTCTTATGGCAGTTGTGTAACACATTTGTTTTATATCTGTTTAACATATATGAAGCCACAGAGGCTTAGAAAATTATGGTTTGTCCAGGATCATACAGCTTCACAGTGGCACCAGGGATGGAAGATGGATGTACATGTACTTCAGCTGCAGCCAGCCCCACCTCCAGTGGGATCCTGGGAATTCTTCTTGTGACAGTCCTAGAGGCTTCTCAGTTACAGGAGCTTTGGGATGGAATCCATTTGCATGTTATTCATATCAAGCTGAACAGGATAGACATGCAGTTTTAGAACTTATTTTTAAGGTTTTGTCTAGCTTTCTGTTTGCTTCTAGGTGGAAAATCTATATCCTATTTTTACCAGTTCAGCCACCATTTAGATGTGTTTCCATGCTTCAACAATAATATGAGCTTACGGGGCACGGTAGCACACGCCTGTACCTTAAGCACTTGGGAGGCTGAACCAGGAGGGTCAAGAGTTTGAAACCTAGCCAGTTAGTGAGATGTTGTCTCCAAAAAATGAGGCGTGTACTTTATCACCATATCTGAGTTACTTTAGTGTGATTCATTGACTTTATTAACTTGTCATTCTGCTTTTTCATAATTCTTCCTTGCTGAATTTCAGCAGAAAATGTTTTAATATAGAATGTTCTTTGTAAAAAATGGCCACTAATCATATTAGAAGTGTAAAAAGCCTATTATTTTGGGCCTTTATGTGAAATCTGTATGCCTTATATCTTTATACTTTTTATGAATTCACTTACTTCTGCTGATGTCTTTGCAAATGCTTATTTCTTTATATTAACTTCATTTTTACATTTTGTTTTTTTATTGCCCAGTTTATTTCTATAATTTAGGCTGGAAGGATCATGGTGTAGCATCTCTCACTGCGACCGTACATATGGTGAAGTAATGACATGTGTCTTACGAGAAGGAAAAGTAGCCCTCCACTGTCCTGCAGGGCGTGACCAAACAGGTAAATCCTAGGAAGTAGCCATACTTAACTATAAAAAGCAGTAAGATTTTGTCATAGACAAGGATGAAGGAGAGTGCTGAGGCTTATCCTTGCTGACTTCAGCTGTAGACACAGATAAAGGTGAGGGCCAAGGCTTGCCCTTGGCTTGACAAGAATGAACCAAGTCACACCAAGGCCGTGTTAGTTCTGCAGACTCCTGAATCCTGCAGAGCAGGTCCCACTGGTGTTCAGTGATCCACTTTTGGATGTGCTGCTCCAATATTGCCCTGAGCTCAGGGCTGACTGGAAAACTCTGAGGAAGTGTGGCAGTGGCACACTTGTCCTGGAGAAGACTGGTAGTGTAGTGGCTGTCAGCCTCCTGAGACCTTTGGATTCCTCAGGGGACAGCCCCTGCCCACTCCAGTTGCTTCTTGCACAAGGGTTTTCCTGGGGCTTGTATTTCAGTTGGGGTGGGAGACTGTGGGTTATTGTGGGATGTAGAACCAGCTGCTCCACAGCCCCTTTTGAGAGACAAAGTTGTGACAGGATTTGGGAATGGAGTGGGGGTGGGTTTGAGTCTGGGCATGACCAAGAGTTGGGGACTTGTATTGGGGTGGAGATCGGGGTCCCAGACAGGATGGGCCCTGAGCCTGGGAACCCTGCAGGGACATTTTATCCTGCATGCAAGCTATGCAAATATTTGAGATTTTGTTAAATAAGAAGGTGGGAAGGTGTGGAACAGGACAGTCCTGGGCCCTCCAGGCAGCAGCAACCAAGGATGCACTGTGCAGGGAGGGCAGACCCCAGAAAAACTGGCTGCATTTCTCCCAAAGGGGATCCCCAAGATCTTAAAATATGACAGCTGTTGAGGACGGAGCAGCTGAACTGGCCTCTCTTCAGTGCCCCATGAGGGTTGTGGGACCATGGCAGGATCGGGGGGATGTGGTAGGGGTAGAGGAAATGCAAGTGGCTGGGATGAATGTCTTTCCAGGGCAAGCAGGTGCTCTGGATGCTGAGAGGCAGTGAGGGACATGGATGAGCGCTCAGGATCTGAGCAGCGTGCTGACTAGCCTGGTGATGGAGAGGAGGCCAGAGGTAGAAAGTGCTGAGTGAGAGGAGTGATGGCAGCGGCCACTGGGGACAGAGCTGGAGCATCCACATGCTCCTTGGATGGCATCAGGGCTGTGATGGGTGGACTTGTGCACACAGCAGCAGCGAGATCTTGATCAGGGAGCGTCATTGGCAGGCTACAATGAATAGAGGCTTAGTTGCAGCCAGAGCAGGGTTCTGGGGGGAGGGCAAGGCAGAGACCTGTGTCCAGGGCTCTTCCACTTCCCTTTGTCAAGGCCTCACTGTTCTCTTTCTATCCAACCTTTGCCCCAGGGCCTTAGCATCCCCCTGTCCCCAGGGTACAGGATTGCCCCAGATAGAAGCTGCTCAATGACCCTGGCATCACACTACTGGAAGGAGGCTGGAGAGAAGGGAGTTCTTTACCTTTCTGGCACAGGAGTCAGGTTCTGGGTCTCTTTCAGGTGTTTCTGGAAGTCTACAAGTGGGAATTAGGAGCCTGGTTACAAGAACTAAGGGCAGCAAAGGAGTTGCGATATTGAAAGAAGCTGAAGTGAATGTCCCCTTAGGAGAGACCTGTGACATTGCACTCTGAAGCCCAAATATCAGTGTCAAGTTCCTATGGCCCAGCATGGCACTGGCTGCATGGTATCCACATGAGCAATGCTGCATCAGTATAAAGTGCCTCCATAGCCTTCACCCACTGTGATCCTTCTAGAATTGTTCTGTGGTGGAAAGGAAGGGGTTGTTTAAGGAAGGAATCAGCCACTGCTGAAGGAAACAGCTGGGCTTCAC